TGAGAGTGAAGTTAGTGGCATAATCTTCTTCGTCAACTTTTTGTTGATGAATTCTTCATCTCGGGGAGCTACCGTTCGAGAATTCTTCAGAAGAGGCATTACTTGCTCATGTTCTGCATATGGATCTTCAGCTTTGCTTTTGTGGATTGACATGGATTTTATCTTGCTGCAGCTAGTTGGAGGCTATTGTATCCTTTTACTCTTTATGGTGTTGGAGGTTTTAATTATGGTTGTGGTGCTTGTGTCTGAATATCTGTTATACTTGTGGAGTCTAATTATGCTTTACTAACGTTCTCATATTCTAAATATACTTGATCATTTTATCAAAAGAAAAAGGCACCCTTGTCCCTTTTAATAGACACAACCTCGTCAAGCTCTTTACAATTAATCACCTACTGGTTACTACCAGTTTGGTTGATTATTGCCATTGCCTTCAAATGTTATCTCTTCATCTTCAAGGTTTCATTTGAAATCACCTGTAACTTTTTGTTTTCAAAAGGGTTAACGTTTTAGATATTCTGAAAGTATTCACAAGCCAGCACTCAATACCTTAAAAAATCTTTTTTGGCTTAAATATATCCAGGAAGTTTTATTTTGGAGCATTTGTGCTTTGAATTATCATATATCGTTAAATTTGACTTGCTAAAGACATGGGTCAAACCGCATCATTTAATGATCAAACTTAACAGTGGATAATAGTTAGGATATATTTGCTACAAAATTTTCAGAATATTTAAGAGTTAAAAAAAATTTCACATGCTATGTACTCCTTCATAAAGACTCTTACAGTATTTAAGCACCCTATTCCTTTTGAAAACCATTTGCCTGTACATATATGAACCCTGCTCTATTATTTACATGGTGATACTATAAGAAGACGACTTGGGCATATAACACGGAAGCATCGGCACCTTATCATTCTTTTATTAAAGAAAATGACTATTTTCAAGAAATTACTTTCACTTAAATTGAGTAAAATATGTAAAATGTCCCACTTTGCATGATACCTACAGAACTTCCCTACAAGAACACAGAATCTGAAACTGATAAAGACGATAAGAGTAATAGCCTGTATATAAAGTGATACTTAGTGATATACAAAGTGCTTCATATGGGGACAATAATTAGAATAGAGGATCTCTACGGGGGAAAAATATTTATAAACGAGCATCAGGCCACAACTCTTTCATTTATTCATACTCAGAATTTGCATTTATTAATAACATTATTCCATAATGATTTTTAACCTTCCCTGCCGCAAATGTTATGTAACATTCAAAATCATAATGCTTATCAAATCTCAGTCATTTAAAAATTTAATATGGATAGTCCATATTTCATTTTTTATACTTCTGTTTCGTAAAAAATTTTTTTTCCCTATAATAGGTAGATAATCCAAAATAAATATGATCTTTTGATTATAAGTTTTTTTAAAAAATATTTTTATTTAAAAATTAAAAAATTTTAAATATAAACCATTAAAACTATATCTGAGTGGTATAGATTTTACTGCAATGATAAGTATTATGGTGTTCATTACTATGATGAATACCCAAACTGACGAGCATCAAAACTAATTCCCAATGTAGTAGGCTCTGGTGCTAAATTACCCACTGCTGACTGATTTCTAGTATAGCCATACCACGGTAGTAGTGAACAAATAAAATATATTAATCAATCTCTACAGAGCATGCCAATATCCTGATCTCAAACTATATAACTAATTACAAATAAACCCATGACTTACAAAATATCATTATAATATTTAATATTATATTTAATTAAAATTTTACATTACTTATGCAATATTCTGTGGAACTTAATGTTCAAATAAATCCAATGTGGATCCCTGCTTTAATTTTGCACGCAACAAACTGTAAAATTTGGATGTTAGAGACGAGTCTTTTGTTTAGCGATTTGTTTAGTTTAAATTACACTACAAAATATATCTTATATTTATATTTAGGATAGGAGAAGTACTCCTCCGGTCCTTAATATAGGACCCAATTCTTGAATTGGTTTTAGTCCTAAATATAAGACCCATTTCTTATATTTATCAATTTTCTCTAAATTACCCTTATGGATACTCCCTCAACCATAATCAAATAGAAGAGGAAGAGGGGGTATTAAGAAAGATGATTATGGTATTTTAGGAAAAATGTATCACTTTTCTTATAATTAACTAACTTACCTAACTTTCTTAATTTAATCAAATTAGTTAAATGGGTCTTATATTAAGGACCGGAGGAGTAATAAATAACTCAAATATGAAATTGCTCCCTCCCTCACATGCTCTCTGGATACCTTATCTAACGTCATTCTTTCATTCTCTTTCCTCAGTATACTTTTTGAAGAACTTTAGAGATTAATGTTCAAAACAGAGGAACTATGGGAGACAATTACGCCTTGCCTGGGAAAATAACTGAAACTAGGCAGAGATGATGATACTCCATAAGGTCTGCAGAGGAAATCAGCACAAACCGTAAGAGAGGAGAGGTTTCAAACCAAAAATTAGAAGAAAAGGAAGATGAAACACAGTTGAAATTCCAAGCAATTGAAAAGTGATTCAAAGAAAAGATTTGTGATGCAAAGGACAAGCCAAAATGAATTCACCATTATCAGGGAAGTCATTTTGAAAATATAAATCGAGTGTTTTGTTTTTTCTTTCCTTACTTAGCTTAACGATATAGGGTACCATTTTAAGTTAAAAAATAGCAGTTCGTCACACTTATAAGGTTTGGTCTCCTGAGCTCATCAAGATTAGAGTCTGCCTCCAAATTTAAAAAGTGCTTATAAACATATTTACAGATTACCCACTAGCAAATCCCTCATTTTGACCGTAAGATTTGAACTTATAATTTTGTGAGTTATGGGCTAATTTTTTAATTACTGGCATACTAAGTACTATTCACAGCTGTTGATTTATCAATCCTCCTACATATCTATTTTATTTTTTTTATGGTTTCTCTTATTCGGTGATTTAACTTAAAATTAACCCTAAAAATATGTTTTCTGTCATATGGCATTGCTTGAATGAAGTGAATCGCAATTTTTCCCTTAGGGAAACTTAATTCGTGAGTCCTTATAGTTTATTTCAATTTTGAATCAAATCCTTAAGTTTATTTCTTTTAAATCAAACCCTTACACTTTGATTTGTTAAGCCATCCATCCTTAAGGGTTAACACTGTTATAATACCGTTAAGTTTTGATGATGTGGCTAATAGTATGCTTCTGTGGCTATCTGACATGTTAAAAATATAATATTAAAATTATTTTACTTTTAAAATTTTCAGGTAAACATGGAAAAAAATCAAGGGTTACTGTTTCTAGGTCTTCAGTTTCCGACTTTCGCCGCGGAATTCCTTGCCTTCAATTGCAATCATGGTACAAGGAAATTACTTTTAAAATTCACGGTGCTATAATACTCGACCATTCTTATATCTTAATCTACCATTTATTGCTAGATTTTTGTTTCTCTTCTTTAATTTTCTTGCGGTGAGAGTTTTATTTTTTTGGTGGATCTTAATTGAGTTTTCAAAACTTCTGATATAAACCCAGTGGATCACGTACTATTTAGCATATCCTCTACTATCAAACTTAAGCCCTTAATTGGTTAGCAATTGAAGATTAAGAAAGTAAATCATGGTAAGAAATTGAAATTGTCAAAACTTATATTGAAGAGGATGATGTCCCAACTTAGCCGCACGTTGAATACAATTTAATGGCGAAAACAGTAATCATATGTAAATCAACAATTGAAGAGGAAAATTAAAGAGTCATGTTTCATATATAAATTAAAATTTCCGATTTTATTATTTGCTCGCATTGTTGGTTTCTTCGTTGATAATATCAACATTTGGGATCTTACTTCTCTCAAGAAAACAGTAAGTTGTGCTTGTTGAAGATTTTTTTTTTAATATCAATTGTCTAATTAAATTTCCAAATATTGAATGATGGAAATATTCTATTCTATGACACGTACCTTGCGCAAATTTTTTATGGGATACTTTATTTATGTTCCCTGTTGCTTTGGAGTATTCCTTTTTATGCGCCTACTTATATTTTAAAATCAATGTAGGTCCTATTGCTGGATACAGAATCATGTTAGTCAAGCACTTGAATCAACTAAGAGGATATTATTATGAAATGGAAAGGGCTTTTCAAGAAGAGATGAGAAACATGTTCAATATCATTTGATTGAATAGCTGATCTAGCTTCTTATTGTTTGAATAAACCCTCCACTTCAATTGGTATTTTTTCATGAAAAGCAAATATGAAATAATAAATCCAGTCTTTCGTCTCCAATCAAAAGAAAAATTAGAACTAAATATCCAGCAAGAAAGATATAAAAGTCTACATACTAAATTAGCATTCATTGCCACAACCAAAAACAAATTGAAGACATTGTCTGCATACTAAATAACCTAAAATAGTATAACTAAAAGTCTAAAACTCCAAAAGAGTTGGGTACATCGATGGTTTGGAGGTGGGCTTTTTATTGAAGGTTGCTTGCTTGTTCTTCGGTTGTGACAATAATTACCACAAGCTTTACACTTGATGCTTGTATTTTGTCTCCTGATTTTGTGTGGAGGTTGTGGCTCATCTTTCTCTCTCTTTCGTCGCTTCTTAGGTCTACCAGGACGTTTGTGAAATGTTGGAGGATCTATAGGCTCTGATTAAATTTGTTCCCACATCTCTTCTCCATTTATGGGCTGTATAATGGGAGCGTAACATTCTTCATATTTGTTCAGAGTAAGATATTCATTGACATATGTATGAGGGTCCTCACGCTTTTTGTAAATACAAATAACAGCTGGCCTGCAAGATAAGAAACAAGTTATATATTGAATTTTTCAGATTATAACCACATAAGGCAATTTATCTAATTACCTACAAGGGATTCCAGATAACTGCCACCATCGACATTCACAGGTCTTCTCTTTGAGATCAACAATAAATCTTTGAGTGTTATATTGAACTTCAAACTTGTCGTCTCCTGCCTATCTTGGCATCCACTTTCTAGACTCTTCAACCTCCTTGTCAAGTCTCTTAGGGGGACGAGGGCATACAATTCCCTTCCCATGATATTTTGCAGCTTTGATGTGATTTTCTGCAAATCTATTCATCCAATAAATCCAAATCCAATCAAGAAGACCTACCATGGGAAGTTCTCTCTTGCTTCCAACAACTGACTATTAAAAGATTCTGATATATTATTCATCATCATATCACATGTTGAATACTCTGAAAAGTGAGACTTGGTCCAACAAGATAGAGGAAATATCATCAAGTGATCACGCGCTTCCTTTGACACATTATACAACTGTTTCATTAGTTCTTTCCAAGCTGGGGGATAAGTGGCCTTCGCTGCACGTATCACTAAATCTCTAATCACCGTTCCACCACCATACCTTGACTTGATGTTGGCATACAAGTGTCTTACACAATATCTATGTTCAACACCTTCAAGTAATTCTCCAAAAGCTTGAACCAATCCCTACAATTAAAACATAATTGTTAGTTCTGAAATTTATGTTAAATAAGTGTAAAAATTAACTAAACATATTATCTTCTGTTGGTCTGAGATAAAAACCCATTTCTTTTCAGCCATACTACCAATATCATCAAACAATTGTTTTAAGAACCATGTCCAAGAATCTTTGTTCTCAGTCTCAACTACTGCCACAGCTAGAGGAAAATATTGATCATTAGGATTGCGAGCTACAACCACCAACAAAATACCTTCGTATGTGCCCTTAAGGAAGCAACCATCTAATCCAATAATTGGCCTACATACTTTCATAAAACCTCTTTTCACTGGTTCTAAGCACACATACAATCTCTTAAACACACGTGGGCGATCTACATAATAAGTAGTATCAGTGACAAGAGCAAATGTAGATTGCGGATTTCTCTTCTTGACTTCATTACAAAAGTTTACCAACTTGTTGTACTCTTCTTTGTGATCTCCCTCTATTGTGTTCTTTGCAATCTTCCTAGCCCAAAATGCCTTGTTTATTGAAGGTTGCACCATATAATTTTGTTTTACTATTGAAACCACATCTCCTAGCTTCGAATTCTTATTCATCCTCATATGATCTACTATCTTGTCTGAAACCCACTTTGATGTGGCTAACCTTGAATTAAATGTTACCCCACAAGTATGCTTTGGTCCAAGTGTTTTTACTCGAAAAGTCATTGAGCCACCAACTTTGCTTACAATTATCAACCAACCACACTTCTTCTTGCACCTAACTCGACATCTTTCCTTATCATTTTTAAGAAACTCAACATCATACCTATGTAGCAAACAGTACTCCTTGAGGGCTTCTCGAAATTGTTGGATTGAATTAAACTCCATTCCCAACTTAAATTCAAACTCCTTGCACATTTGAGCATAATTGTATTTCTCTTACCTTCTTATTGCCTTATTGTCCTTGTCATCACATGCATACTCCTCATACAACTCATCATCTTCTAGATCGGAAAGCATAGCCAACGTGTTCTTGTTCGGTAACTCAGAAGCAGTAACAGCCTCTGAATGCACATATTCAAATTCGGCCAAATGATTAGAACCCCTACTTCCTTGACCCACATTCTCAACATCAACATCAAGAAATTGATGAAAACAATCATCATCCAACTCTGCATCGTCACTATCCTCAACTTGCGGGCACGTCAAATTATCATCCCTAACCTCTATTTCGTTCCCACTCCCTAAATTTATATTCTCATTTTTTATGCCTACGTCATCTCCCCTCCTTCGTTCCATATATACTAAACTGATAGAACAAAAGAACAAAATTAATGAGAGAAACATAGAATGTAGAAAGCATTTAAAAAATTATAACTTTAAGAAGTCAAAATCATTTTTATTGATTTTGATTGGAATTAATATTCAATGTATAGTTTCGGTTTCAAAAAAGATTCAAACTTTATTATGTCAAATCAACATCTTTGTTCTCTTCTTATTGTGGATAGAGAAAATCTGCACATGTTTATAAGAGTACTATTTTTTTTTTTAATTTATAGAAGATCAAAGATGGGACCTTTACAAATGGATATGAAATATGGGTTACCTGCTCGAAATTCAAAAACTGTGTTTGAGAGATGGAGAGCAAGAAATAAAATAAAACACGTTGAGGCAAAGCACCAACACGCAGCCTTACTCAGATAATACAAATCGAGACACAGTACCAAAATGCAGTTTTACCTAAATAATCTTGGTCGCCGCCCTCCTTCGCACCCAATGAAAACCAAAACCGAACATTCTGCAACTGGCCGCAAAATTAGCGAGAGGGCGGGAATGCGATGGTTTCTTAAATCGACTGATCACGATGGTCTTAGTTAAAGGCTTATTAATCATCTTATTATCCACCTGTCGTCAAAATTAATCCATGTGGTGCCAACTCATGTTTCTTTATCCACATGTCAGTTTAGTCAGCCTCTACATCATCAAAACTTAACAGTGTTACAACGGTGTTAACCTTTGAGGATGGATGGGTTTAACGGATCAAAGTATAAGGGCCCTATTCAAAAGAAATAAACTATAAAGACCTGATTCAAAATTGAAGTGAACTATAAGGACCTACGAATTAATTTTCCCTTTCCCTTACCCTACTTATCTGGTTTTGATAATCTCTAAAATAGAAATTTTAGTATATTTATTTTTTATATTATAATCAAATATATCATGATTATATCAAATTTAAATAAAGAAACTACCTCATTTATAAATCATCAGCATTGTATTTTGATTCTCAGGAGATCCTAACAATATAGGACCTCCATCTAATTTTATATAGAAAAAAATTATTAGATAAATAATTTCCTTTACGTGGAAAAAACTTTTCTCCCTTTCTATTTTTCTTCTTCTTTTCTTTCGTTTCATCAAAAAACATGTTTTTCTTGATCCGTAAAAAACTAAGGATAAAACAATGACGATTTTTGGCAGGAAACGTTCTATCCGCACCCTTGAATTTACCACTCTACCCTCAACACCACCTTCGCCTAAAAACTCAAAACGTTAACGGTTGATACTAAAGACACAAACTTTCTTGATTTTGAGATTTGAATAACAAAAACGAATTCTTCAATCTAACAACAATTGAATTCCTGTCTCGAACATCATTAATTGACATACTGAATTACTATACCATATTTATTGCCTTTAATCCATTTATGCAACCTGGCCACCTGGGTATTCTGTTATGAAGGTCTTCGTCGATAGCTTCATTTTTCGATTTTTATGGAACTCCCATTTCTTAGGTACTGTTTCACGATCTCTTATGCTTTTATGTTTATGCAGAATCGTCTATTTGTCCTTGGGAAGCTGATCGATTTTCTATATTCTGGAATTTGAAGCAGAAATTAGAAGGTTGGTTGGGAAATATCTGGGCAATAAGAAAGTTGTACAGGTTGTTCTTCATGGGGAAAAGGAACTAAATTCCATCACTAATCTGTCCTAAATTTAATGATGAAAAATTTTCGTCACTAAATTCCATCACTAATTTTAGTGACGAAATTTATAATAGATTAGCAATAGAATAAAATTGCATCGCTAAATTTCATCACTAATTTCTTTTTTTTTTGTAGTGATTAACATTTAATATATATCTTGTATACAATCTTTAGGATAAAAATTTAAACGATTAGCACAGACCAACTTGGCACAAAGCCACAGAAAGGAAATAAAACACTAGTTTCTTAAAGAGCCACAAAAATTCTGGCAGCTGGCAATATTTTAAAGCATGATCAAGTCTAGAAAAAGACTTCTATTGGAATTGAATTATGTTTTATTATTGGATTAACTTTTTGAAAATAATTTATAAAATTTGAGATAAATATGTGAGAGAAATTTTGTTTTGCTATATATAAAAGTACCTTTTTAAGTGCTTATGAGATTGTCAAACCCCCCTAAAGAAAATTTCTGTTACTGCAAGCTTTAAAGGGCAAAGATGATGTGGGTGGGACCTCAACAAATTCCAGAATTCAAATTTGGATTCTCTCATAGTTCCTTTTATCTCATTTTCCTCTCAACATCACATCTCCACTATTGGATTAAGAAATAAATAATTTAGATTTAATGTTTTATAAAATTATCATTATATTGCATAAAAAGGGGGGGGGGGAGAGAGGGTGCACGTCCATTTTTTTAAAGGGAGACGTGAATACTGCCAAATGTGGCTTTAATCCAGATGATTGATAAAAATCAACATCTCATTTGGAATCTACAGAAATGGAGAGACCCAGTACTGGTTCCATTTTTAATATGATACCCTCCCACGAAAATTATCAATACAACCATTCTATTAAATTACAAAATCAATACCAGGGTAATATCGTCATTCTGTTAAATTACAAAATTCCTATTTAGTCATGTGTGACTAAAAAGGAATTTTTCTTAGAAAAAAACTTAAGTTACGTTGCTTATATTCATTTTGTCAAATTCTTCAGTCACATGTAGTCATATGTGCTTTTTTAATTTTATGTGAATTTATAATTAAATAGTAATAATTAAAAACATTACAATCACTTTTCTGTCATTTTCTCTATGGTTTTTTTTTACAAGGCGTACAATTGTACAATGCAATTTATTTCTTCCGTTGAAAAAAGAAAAGAAAAACAATTCATTTCTTCGGGGCATAACCAGACAGAGGGACAAGATAGTAAATCTAAATAGGTCTCGCTCCTATATAAACAGGATCTTATTTTAATTTCCCTTTGCCGTCTTCATTTATCGCCGCCTAGATGGTTTCTTTTTCTTTCGTGTGATTCAGAACAGTTGTGTGAGGCTTCTTCATTTTCATTGGAGTTCTAGGCCTTATTCGTTGCTGAATACAACAAAAAGAGGGAAAGCCATTGAAAAACGATCTATCTCTGTTTTGATTCTCTCTTCTCTGCGTTGTTGTTATTCTTACCAAAGGCCAGATGCCACATCGTCGGTAGCTACGAAGAGCTGTGACCGGCGGTGCTATGATCAGACTAAGAGTGACTTCTTTGTTTCGCATTTGAGAGGAATCCGTGGATCTCTCATCTACTGATCATTCAGAGCCGATTTGTGCGATTACATTCTTAAAAATCGTAGTTAATTCATTTATTATTTAATTAATTTCAGGGATATGAGATAGTGAAGTCGATGATGACAGCACTTATATGTTGCAAGTGCCGTCTGAAATTGTTGATTGATGGAAAACGCAGAGTTGTTTCTGAGACTTCCTTCTCTTCAATTCTAAGTCCACATTTCCATCGAATGAACTTTGGAGAAATATTGTGAACTGAAATCACTAATTTTTTCTTTGGCAACAGTTGAAATTACTAAATTAGAACTATAATAATCCTCTTTTTATGCTTCTTTGTCAATTTTCTTAAAACTTATTTTTGCATTATTATTAAATTGCTTAGTACAGTATTGTTCATTTTCGGTTTCTTTGTCAAGTTATGTGTTAAAACAGCCCAAGCAACCAAAATCAGACTCTGCCTCTGGCGAGCTCATTCCAATCATTATTCCTGTTCTACATTGACAAATGAGCATATGCCTCAGCACTGTTCTTAGATAAAAGGCTCTTACATTGCTCTGTTCATATATGCCAGCTCTCCATTCATGAACAAAACGAGCGCATATATTAGCTCTGGACTGATTTTAGATAGAAAACTCTTGCATTGGTCTGTTCGTATAATGTATTCCGATCAGGTAATCATTATGCCAGTTCTCCATTAATCAACAAATTAGCACATACGGTGTGGACTGATCTTGGGTAAGAAGCGCTTACACTGCAATGTTCATATATAATGTTAAAGAGTCTCTGTTTTTACGATTTTTTTTTTTAAATGTTTCTTTCTTGCTTTTCAATCTCTAACTTAGAGGAGGACTAAGACAAGGGTTAAGGAACGTTTTTACCTTAGTTTTAAGGATGAGGAAAACTGTAGATATTGTCCAGAAAAAGTATAAATAAATTTTTTTATGAGAAAATTAGTAACTGTGAGAAGTTTTATGTTATCTTTGTGCTCTTGTAAAATATCAAGATATCATGTTGATTTGCTATGGTTATTGCGTTATCTATCATTTATCATGTCCTTAATATAAAATGTCTTTAACTAATTCACATATACCAATAAAAATAGTTAAAGTATTAAATTTATTATGAAAAACAAATAACCACTAAAAAGTCCTAGGAAATGTGGTGTATCAAAAAAAAGTCCTAGGAAATGTTCAAATAAAAATCCCTTTTAAAAGACACATTAATGATGCTGAGAATTTGACTCTGGAGCCATGTCATTCTGCAAGTGCAACCCTTTAACCGCGGCTTGGGAATCTAACTATCTGAACATGCCAATTTTTTGCAAAATCACTTTCTCATTGAAAATCATGTTTTGGAGGGGGAAAAAAAA